TTGCTATCTGTCTTGTCAACTCTCAACTCCGAGAACCTACAAAAGTACCCAAGGTTTAAGTGATATTTTGGGACGGCTTAATATTCTCGATTGCACCTCCATTTCTAAGGCTCATAGCAACCTCGAAGTTTGCAGGCACCAAGGTTGAATTGTGATTTTTTTCTTTTTAATTTGATCCTGTCGTTTAGGCTCTGATGCTGCCGACTCTTTAAGACCAACCCAGAAAAAGAACCAATGGTTTATTGATGGTGTCGACAAATTGAACAAGCTGTTGTCCCAGAAGCCCAATCACAATCCAGCAAAGAACGTCATCCTGTTCGTCGGAGATGGCTGTGACATCAATACCAACACCGCTGCAAGGATACTAAAGGGACAACAGAACGGCAAGAAAGGTGAAGAGGGGTATCTGTCGTATGAAGAGTTTCCATAGACTGGTTTGTCGAAGACGTACAATACAAATCGACAAGTTCCTGACTCGGCTGGTACGGCTAATGCTCTCTTTACTGGAGTCAAGACTAGAAGTGGTACGTAAAAATTATGTTTGAAATACTCCTTTGCCGTGTCCGAGCATTTTCATTGGATGAACATTGGTCTCGCGCGCTGTGATTGGTCACAGGATGTTGTTAGGTGGCTATTGAATACACCGAATCGAAATATGGCGACCAATTTAAATAACTATTGTTCTGTACTGACTAGCGACTGACTAGCCTCTAATACATGTGAAAATGCTTTTGTGTTTCCATGTGAACACGAGGCTAGTCAGTCGCTTGTCAGTGCAGAACAATAGTTATTCAAATTGGTCGCCATATTTCGATTCGGTGTATGACCTTCGAAATTTTTTGAGGAACCTCGAGGAACCATCCATACCGTGTTTTGAACTTCAACAGGGCAAAACCCTCAGATATATATATATATATATATACAGGACTCCCTTTCTTTTCAATTTCCTAAAGAGTGCATGAAAAAGAAACTTTTGACAATGTTTGAGAAATAGTGACATAGATTTAACAAATAGACATCAGTTTTTTATGTGTCTGTCCTCTTATTGACGATAAATTGCGTCATCACATTGTCAAAGTAGTGTGGATTCACGAGGCGTAGCCGAGTGGATCCGCATACTACTTTGACAATGTGATGACGAAATTTATCGTCAATAAGGGTGCAGACACATAAAAAACTGATGTCTATTTGTTTTTTGCAATAACAAAAACGATAAAAACTTCTCATTTTTAGCGATCAAAGCAACCAACGGAAAGAGCGCGCGCTCGTTGACGTCAGCTTTATCTGTCTGTCCTCTTATTGATGATAAAAAATAACCAATCAGCGCGTGAGAAATTTGTAAGTTATTGTAAAAAAGCGGTTATAAGTTTACTCTTTCTTTCACTCGTTTTAGAAAATAATTGTTAAGCACAAGACGAATGAAAATAATTTTTTTAAACATTTTCCAAATATTTTGACTTATTTTTGTAAAACGATGTGACCAGGCTCACAAAACAAAACAATGATTGGGCACCCTGTCTACCAAACAAACTAAATATTAATACCAAGTATTCTTAATACTAGCTGTGATCGGTGTTAACGAAGACGTGGTATTTGAAAAATGCGACACGCTGACTGAAGCAAGGAAAGTGGACAGCATTCTGAAGCTCGCAGAGGAAGCTGGGATGTCAACGGGTTTCATCAGCACCATGCGAGTTACCCATGCCACGCCCGCAAATCTCTATGCGAATTCCCCAAGTCGATTATGGGAAAGCGATAACGATTTGCCAAACGATGCTAAGGATTGCAAGGATCAAGGTATGCATTACGTGGGGAAGGTTGGGCGATAACTCGCCACATGAGAGTCAGATAAGTAAATTTAGTGTAAAAATACTCTGGTTATTATTTCTCCACTAGTCAGCCTGCTAAATAAAGGCTAACTGATTACAACTCTCTAAACAAAGAATGAAATTTTTATCACAGCCTTACAGTTCGTAGAGTTTCAAGGCAAGATTGGAGATGGCATTGAGGTAGTTCTAAGTGGAGGACGCAATGCATTCCTTCCTAATGACATGACAGACTATGAGGAGGTTAATACGACAGGCAAGCGGCTGGATGGTCGAAACCTTATCGATGAATGGGTGGCGAAACGACCTGATTCGAAGTTTGTGTGGAACAAGAAACAATTAGACGCTCTTGATGTGGAAAAGACGAAGCATGTTCTTGGTAAATTATGATAAATAAATATAAGAAMTACTATATGTAGATATATTTTGTTAGCTACTGCGCTCGTTTCTTTACTTGTTTATTGTTCTCCACCTCTTCCCTTCTTTCTTTCTTACATTCTTTTTTTCCCCAGTGTCTTCTTTCCTTCCTTCCTGTCTGCTTATTTAATCATTTCTTCGTTTGTTTTCTTGCTCGTTTTAGTATTTAGTCGCTTATTCGTAATTATCTATTTTGTAATCGTTGATTCGTTGGTCGTTTCATTCGTTCGTGTTAGTCCTGTTCGTTCAGCTAAAAATTTCTGAGAAGACCGAGATTAACTTGTTTTGAGCCGAAATGACATTCCTTAGTCTATACTTTATTTACTGACTTTACTATCCTATTCATTGGTGTCTTATTCATTGAAAATTCCAGGCGTTTTTGACTACAGTGTCATGAAGTACGAAGTAGACAGAGCCAATGATACCGCTGGTCAGCCTTCTCTGCCTGAAATGGTCGAATTCACCATCAAAAAATTGAAGAAAAATCCCAAGGGTTTTTTTCTTATGGTTGAAAGTAGGTTTTTATCTGATGCAGTAAATTTGTTAAAACCATTGTTTGGCAAGGAATAATGGACATTGTTTCTTGTTGATGTAATAATAGAAAAGCTTTCTGTGGGTTTAACATAAGCTTTCCCGCCAAAACGCGTGCCCACGTCACGCTTAGCCTTCTGCGCAGCAGAAGTCCTATAGTCCCATAAAATTTGCTCTAGCTGCCATTCCCCTTTTTGGTGGTTCTTTCTTTGCAATATTTTTGTCTAACTTTAATGTCATTTACTCTTCGCAAATCGTTTCTCTCAAGGTGGCTTGGTAGATTATGGTCACCATGCAAACGATGCTCACCATGCACTTACCGAAGCTCTTGTTCTGGATGCTTCAGTTACGAAGGCAAAAGAGCTAACCAATGAAGGTAGACAAGGATGAACTTCATGGGAATTCTTTACTTTGTTATTTTGTTTTGGGGAGAAGAGGTAAAGGCACTAGCTTGAAGGAAAGAAAGACAAGTAAATTGGGGAAAAGAAGAGTTAAGAGGCGAGAGGAAAGGAAATGAACACATAGCCCTATTTGGAGAAGTAAATGAAGAAAAAGAAGGAAAGAAATGGAAAAAAAATGGAACTGAAGCGAAGGGAAGCAAAGGAAAGAGAAGGAAAAGAGAGTAAAGAAAATAAATGATAAGAGAGGGGAGAAGAGAATGAAGGAGAAGGAAAAAATCGAAAACGAAGAGGAGGAAGTGAAGTGATGCAAAGGGAGAGGAAGAGATGGAATGAAAGCAAAGGGGAAAAATACGAAGAAAAGAAAGTATCAAAAACAAAGAAGAGGTTGTGCATTCCATGTAAAAAATACATTTCTTTTCCTTTCATCAGATGACACACTCGTGATAGTGACAGCAGACCATGGCCACACCATGTCCATAGCAGGATATCCTGACACAGGAAACCCAATATTAGGACTGGTTAAACAAGGGGGTGTTTTGCAATTGGCAGGTAATGACAAAATGCCTTACACTACCCTTGGTTACCAGAATGGTCCCAGTGCACACTTTGGTCCCAGAAAGAATTTGACTGATGTCGACACCCAGGCAGTAGGTTTTAAGCAACAATCACTGTACGATGGACCAGAAGGGTTTGAAACCCATGGAGGACAAGATGTTGGTAAGTTGATGATGGAGGACTGAATCCTACTTAGTGGCATGATAGTGATGAAATTATGGTGTTGATGAAGAATTTATTATGGATGATGATGGTGATGATTGTGAAGGATTATGTCTCACTCCTGGTGATAATTATGACAATTCTAATGGTGATTATAGATAATTGTGATGATAATGGTAATGTCAATGATGATGACGATGATGTTCTTGCTAGTGATGATGCAAATGATACCAATGATGACAATGCTTGTGATGATGATAAAAATTATAATGGTGATGTTAATGCATGATGAGATGATGGTCATGCTAGTGTTGATGCCAATAATATCAATGATGAAACTGTTGATGATGACAATGCTGATGATGATGCTTATGATACCAATGATTATCTCGGTGATGCCAATGATGATGATGATGCTGCTTGTAGTAATAGTTATAGCAATATGAGCAATGCAGTTATTTCTGATAGTTAGTCCACAATGCTGTCCTTCTAAATGACTTTCACCACCCACATAGCTCTTAATGTATACAGATCTGCTACTTACCCCTTTAATTTTCTTTCAGGAATTTATTCCCGTGGTCCCTGGGCTGATCTCTTGGTTGGGGTTTTGGAAGAAAACGTCATTTTCCACGTCATGGACCACGCCCTTTGCTTGAGTGACAGCAAGCAGAGTAAATGTAATAAGCCTGAGGCCAGGGGAGGAAAACCTCCAGTGAGCTCGGCAAACAGCTCTTGTGAATTTATGTATGTTGGTATGCTCATGGCATTATTGTCGGCAGCTGCCAATGTGATCATACTGTAGATGAATGTGGTATAGTCTTCAGTTGAGTTTCAGTTTGTGACACCTTTGAATGTTTTTTCATTAAAATAATGTAAATGTGTAGTTTTTTCATTCAAAGAATATGTTAAACGTGTACATGTAGTTTCAGTGCATGATTGGGTAAGCAGACTTAAAATCTTGTTTTGAAAAGTAATAATCAAAAAACATCTTTTTTTCCAATTCAAGCAATAATTAGCCTTCAATAAACAATGTTTAAGACTATTGCTATTTGATACAATGACCTTTTGAATAAGGAGAGTGGGGGTTAAAGCAACTTGGATCCTTTGATGGATTAATCAATGGGTGGATTATTTATTACACTCGAAAGAAAACCAACCCAAGGTTTTTTTGAGTTCAAAACCTACTGTACAGTTCATTCTCATTAGCATGCTTGGAATCCTGTAATTTGCTGTTGCAACTTATTAGATTATAGTGGATTGCAATCAAGGCTTTTCATGGCGAGTTTTAACAACAATCCAGTTTGTCAGAGAACGACAGTCTGTAAGTTTATCAGCATGCAGGCATTGTTTTTTTTTAGTATGCCATTGTCAGATATATTTTAGTCTGTATAATAATGATTTTGCTAACAGCTGATCGAACCTCATTACCAGGCTTTACAATAAGTACAATTACAAAAAAATTGTCCATCATATGCTATTAACCCCAATAAGTAATATATACAGTATGAGTGGCCGTGTTGTATCAAGGTATAGTCGAGAGTTTGTATATCGGATACAACATGGGCACGAATACTGTAGATTTCTTGTCAAACGTCTAGGTTAGTTCCTTTGTGTTTCACTAAAATTTTCAAAATTAAAGTGAATCTGGCCAAGATCTTCACGGTCGTAATTTCTGTTGTGTTTTCCCCATGAATTATTAATGAGTTTGATAAAGCTTGATACACAAAGAAAGACCCAATTAAGTAATGTATTCTATCGCTGGTATCAATCGGCTGAATAAAATTTTCATTATATAATTTTATTAATAGCCTACGGCAAAGGGCACACATGCAATACCCATCTATCAACCAAATAGTAATCTATTGTTTTTAAAATGCTTATATTATTGGTATTTCTTTAAAATTGGCGAGCAAAGACTATAGGCCTGAGGAGGCAAGATCCTTCAAAATAATCATTATATTTTAGGATCTGTTGATGAAAACAGTCTGCCCAATTTTCCCCATCATGGAAATCACTCTAAATTTCACCCTTTAAAACTGATATTACATCATAACTCTATTTATAATAAAATATAATAATCTTTTTGTATGTAATAATCCAAATTAGTCTCTTCTATATGCAAATCTATATTATGTTGTTGTAAAAAAATACTTTTAAAATTAATATCCATATATTAGCTAGGATATAAGTTTAGTATTGAATTAACTATATATTTCGAAATGAATACAGTTATGCAGAAGATAACTGCTTAGTGTTGACGATGTTCAGAGACATGCAGTACAGGTAAATCATAGCACAGTTGTACTGTGAGTAAGACTAAGACATTAAATTTACTTTAAACTAGAAGATACGAGGTGTTGGAAAAGGATACAGTGTTCTATATTTCCCTCAGGTCCCAATCCCCATTTCCTGACAACCAAAGATTCAACTGGTGGTACTCAAACAAAGTCTCTCTGTGTCCAATGCTCACAAGTGTGATCCCCAACTGCTTGCAATTTTCATACATTTCTTTCTCTGTCTTTGTATCCAATGCACTGGTAGCTTCATCAATCATGCCAATAACAGGCTTGTGGTAGAACAAACGAGCAAATGCCAGCCTCTGCATCTCACCTGGGGATAACATATCTTCCCAGTTGCCTTCGATATTCTCTTCAATCCCTCCTACACGACGGCACACAGCAGTAAGGCCAACATCCTCAAGAATGCTCAGAATTTTCTCATCATCTATCTGACCATTCTCTTGGTATCTCTGCTCTATTGGTTTGTCATATGGATAGATAACTTGCTGTTTGAGAGAGCCATCTGACAACAGTGCTCTCTGGGGTAAGAATATTATATTGCTGGGATCAAATGAGAGATTCCTGACAACTGTACCAGAAACTGGCTTCCACAGGTTACTCATCACTCTCAGCAAAGAACTCTTCCCAGAGCCAGTCTTCCCAGTAATCAGGATGTTTTGACCAGGAATTATGTTAAGATTTAAATCTCTCACAAGAAGCTCAGACGACTTGGGTGCTGCATAAGAAACAGATTCCAGTTGAAAGATACAACCAGTCCGCAACATGTCCAAGGATTCAGAACTACTTTTAAGGCTTTTGTCTTCACCTTTCTTTTCTTTTATCATCAAGGCTTCTATTAACTCTCCAATCCTGTGAGTATAGCCAGCCATGTCTGACACTGAATTGGACAGATCAATCAACTGGGTGAAACAGCCAATCAAAAACATTGACACAAATGAATTCTTGCTTATTTCAGCGCTCAGAGCTGTCGGTGACAAGGCATCATATTTTCCAGCAAAAAGTGCAATAGCAATGATAATGTAACTGAGTATCGCTCCAACGTAGTCAAAAAAGTTGACAGAGAAGTTGAGGAAGAACTCATAGTTAACCAATCTTTGTTGGATATTTAGTAGGTTTTGGAGTCTTCCGTTGGTCCTTCTTTCTTCCAGCATTCCCGATCTGTAAAAGGCTAAGGCCTCTGAGTTTACTCGTATCTGTCAAGAGGGAAAAAACAATTCAACACTTTCTTTCTGGAATTGTTATTAAAATTGTATAATTACAAGTATTATTACATTTAAAAAATAACAGTTATTTTCTACAGAGTAACTTCTTACACTGTATTTAAACATTGTATAATAAAATTGAACAATAAAAACATGTTAAAAATGTGATGACGTTGCTCAACGTCATTATCAAGTCAAAAATGAACTAGAAAAGTAGAATAAATATAGAAATAAGTAACAATAGATATAAAATAGATATACAGTATAATAACATAACATTTTCTACAGAGTAGCTCTTAATCCACTAAAATGAAAATAAGTAGACTATAGCACCTATTTGTTTTGTTTTTTTCTCTCTCAGTCCATTTGCTATTAAAATCTGTCAAAATCTGATAGTTTTATTTACCACATTAAACAAAATTTATTGCCTAGCTACTTATGTTCTCAAAGGCAACCTTCAAGACAGCCCATGAAAATGACTGCTTTTGATTGGCTTGAATTTGTTTGGGCTACACATTGAAGTAGTGAAACCAATTCAGCCAATCAGAAGTGATCATTCTCGGTTATATATGGTAACCTTTGAAAATGTTGGGAGCTACATGTAGAAAGTAAAATTTTGTTCACTTGGTATATACAGAGCTATCAAATGGTTATGCTGTGGTTTACTGATTTTCATAATAAATTCCAAATTCCACTTTCGTAGACAGAGAAAAACTGGAAAATATGGAGAAAAACCCTCAAATCACAGGAGAGAACCAACAA